CTGCAGTGGACTCGTGTAACAGATAACTGTTGGAAGACGTGATTCGATATGCGTGGTTTCACAGGAGCAGGAGCTGAATGTTTCAGTTTATGGATAGGAAACGTTATTGAAAACCATCAGTGAAGTCCTTATAAATTGAATTACATTCTGAAATCTTACTTGTCCAAAAGTAGAGCATTAAGCTACACCCCAGTTAAATGTCTTATTTTGTTAGTGATATAATTCATACTTTCTTACATTTTAGGAACACTGAGGTTATTCTGTAAACTCAGTTACCATTCCAGGTGATGCAGTTGCCAGAAAAATTCCAAGTGGTGTTTTTCAGATCCTGTAGAACACGCCTGAACATTTTTAACTGCCATTTATGGCTTGTGTTACATCAGGTCCTGTTTGAACAGCCTCAGTAATACGTTTGGTTGTATTTTCAGAGTATGCTGTTACCAATACTGTTCATGCAGGAGGGATGAGATCCTCTTTGTTCTGTTTGTTGGTGGGTGAGATTTTGAAGAATAAAATCAGTAAATTATAAGTTTGACGTCTCAGCACTGCAAGTCCTTAAAAATTACGTAGCACATGTACAGAGATTTTAGCTCAACCAATTATACTTATTTAGAGCACAGACAAACTAAAGGCCAGATGTGCTCCTGAGCTCCTATCCCATAATTCTGTGCTTTCTGCACTGTATTTTGTATCATTGTTTTTATTTTATGAAGCTAAGATTTAAGTCAAAAGTGATATTGTTCAGAGTTGTTTGTATTTATGTCTCACTTTGTTAGGGACCAGCAGTAAACCATGCATTTTGACTTAGAGATACATGTGCATGAGTGTGCAGAAAGCACAAATAGTTCCACTTACATCAGAGAGGCACAGGCAGTAATTAACAGTGCAAGATCTTTTTGACTGCACACATTCAAATTATGTATGTCTATATGCATGTGTGTATATATGTGTGTGTGTGTATATATATATATAAAAGTTGGTGAAGTATTAATACACTAATTCTGGATGTTTCTGGACATTTGCTAAAGATGCTGAAAATAATTATAGATTTTTTTTCCTCAGATGATGAAGTATTTGCCCAGGCTTGTCCATTGCTGAGGAACAACCAAACAACACTGCACTATTAACTTAATCTGGGCTGAAAGCAGGGCATGGGGCGCACTGCTGTGCCTGCTCAAGTTATGGCAAATACTTTTATGCAGCTTGATACATTGGCTAAACACAGCCCTGTGAACAGTGAAAAATACACAGCCGTGCTTACTATTCTGCTAAAGGGATTTGAGAGTAGTTCCAAGACTGCCAAAAAATTATCATTCTTTTGGTATCTTTGTGACTCCATTTCAATCAGCGTGAATGCACGACCTGCAGGTTTTCAAATGGAATGTATAAAGTTGCAAGCAGATATTCAACTCAAAACTCTGATTGTATCTCTCTAGTGGACTTTTATACGTCTTCTCTGCCCAGCTAGAAATACCCCTCACTTCACAATCTGCCTTATTCGTGTCATTGCTGTTTGGCAGTTTGCATGTTTGTGAAGAACTGTTTCCAAGGATGAAGCATGGAAGGAGTAAAATTCCATCAAAAATCTCTGCAGAATGCCCTCAGAGCTCACTAAGAATTGAAACCACTCCCCATCAAACCAGGTATTGCATTAGTTTTACAAAAACAAAGTCAGATATCCCGCTATTTTTATGGTTCTGTTGCTCTCTTGTTTTATGTTTTAATAAAAAAAAAATGAAAATTAAACTGTTGTATTACTTACATATTCACTGTATTATATATTTTATGAGGGCTGCTCTGACTGTAATGCCTTCTGGTTTATTTTGTCTCCCATGAGGTTGTTGGTAGTGGTACAACAGTAGAGGTTGAACATTGTGGTACATGTTGTGGTTGTGTGACAGATGGCAACAGAGGAGCAGTCTGACAAGATGGCATCTGATAAGGAAGTGCATATGGATGAAGCAAAGGTGTGTCACTGAATTCCTCCATGCAGAAAAAATGGCACTCGTTGACATTCGCCAACACTTGCTGAGCATTGATGGAGGCCAAATAGTAATGTGAGCACAGTGAGGTGGTGGGGGGGACATTTCAGCAGTGCTGACAGCGGGTCACTTCTGCTGGTGCTCTTGCTCATTGTTGGCAAAAATGCAGAATTAAAGGTGGTGGCTGTGTTGAAAAAGAGCATTTTGTAGCTGAGAATTTGCTATTTCAACTGGTGTTACCGTGCACTTTGTATCTGTTGTATTTTCTGTGGTAATAATTCAGGGCGGCCCTCTTCACTTAACACAGCCCCTGCAACCAAAAGACTGGACACTGATGTATTAGTCTACATTCATAAAATGTTTAAATGCAACACTATGTACATGAAATACCAGCTGTGTGTAAATACACTGCATTTAAGGACAGAAGGATAGGTCACAGAGGGCAATTGCAAAGCCCAGGCTGTTCTGCTGCTTTTGAGTGTGAGGGCATTGCAAAGACAGAAGGGTGGCAAGATGAAAAAGTAGAGTAACAGAAGCAGGGACTGAATGCTTAAGTACCCCTATATGGTTAACTCCTGTTAGAGAGGACACCAGGGGTGCAATTTAGATATGTAGTAAGCTCAATTGGTGTTAGCCCTTGATCATTTGGTTAAATACCTTTCATCCAGGCATTGTGTCACATGGATAGTTTTCTCTCCAGAAGTAGCAATTCTGCACCTAAGATTTGAAGTTTTAAGGTGGGAGAAGAGAAGCTTCAGTTAGCCTACAGCAAAGAGCAAGTTTTGTTTTTGCTAGAGCGAAGCCTGTATGACTGATAAGTAGCTTTAAATGCTTTCAAAGTAGGCTTCATTTCTCAATAGCCAAAGAGATGGATAATTCTTTTTGCACACGTTTTTCCCTACTTAAGCAGCATTTCTGTTTTCAAGCATGATAAAAGCAAACAGTATATCAAATGCCATTGAAAGCAGCTCAGTCATCCAGAAGAAGGCAATAAAAGGTGCATTTAGCAAGAACTATCACATTTCAGCTTCAGTTCAGACAAAAGCTTTACCATTAGGCAGCAGAGACACTTGAGCACCCTGAGGAGGAAGCAGGGCTGCATTCGGAAGGCGGTGGTTTGCCCTCAGGTGGTGAAGTGAAGATGAATTTTACTGCTGAACCGCCTAGAGTTTCTCTGCAGAGGAGGTGATAGATTGCCCTAGTTAAGTTGATTTTGACAAAGTTGAGTTTTCCTCCATGTACACAGACTACAATGAAAAGTTTTAGCTTCAGTCAAAACTTCGCTTCAAAATATTTGGGATCCAAAGAACCACACTCTTGGCAGACTTTCTAACTTCACTGGAGAACACTGACTTAAGAAGAGCTGTGTGGGGGAGATGGATAGCACAATTTGTGCCACAACGCCTTCTGAACACATGAAGTATCAGGGCTGTCTGTGCAGTGCCTAAGCTGTAGCTTGTTGCAAAAGCTAAAAAACACTGAGGAAAAGATAAGGAAAGGGACAAGAATTATACTGGGGGAAAAAAATGGGAAGCTCACAGGCATAGCCTTTCTGCTCCTGGTTAAGTACTTACTGTAAATGGAAGCCTCTTCTGTACTGCAAGAGGCCACCCAGTTCCAACCCCTGCTATCAGCAGGACTGCCCCAAAGCAGTTCAGCTGCCCATGGCCCCATCCAACCTCACCTTGGGCACCTCTAGGGATGGGGCACCCACAGCTCTCTGGGCAGCTGTGCCAGCGCCTCACTGTCCTCTGAGTGAAAAACCTCCTGACAGCTAATCTAAAAGAATTTAATTCCTTTGAATGTCGCTAAGCAACCTGTCAGAAGGCCACTGCAACATTTTCACTGGGACAAAATGTGTCACATAAAAGGCAGATTACTTTCAGAAAAACCTAGTGAGACAAATGATCTTGACTCCTAGTCTGATGTGAACTGGGAGTTTCCTGCAAAGCACTGTTACTCCACATTCAGCAAACCTCTTCTGTGCTCAGTGTGCTTGCTCTAAAACCATTTGGCTGTTAGTTAACCAACTCTGCAAGCAAGCTGCCCCAAAATTTATTAATGGCTAAAGTTTAGAACCTTATTCCTTCTCTAAAAAAGGAACTTAAGGATTGAAATTATACCTATTTGTTTTATTTACAAACCCTTGCCTGGGAAAACAGCTGTGGTTGCAGTACCACTCAGCTGGCTAGAGAAGGATGGAACAAGTACAGTGAGGCTTTAAAGCTGGCCTCAAACTACCTCAGAGCCTCCCTGCAGTCCTTTGCTGGCTGGCCAGTCAAAAAAGGGAATTTCCCAGAGCTGAAAAGCAGATGAAGGCTCAGCTGATAAGCAAAGCACAACTTACATGGAAATAAGTGATGGTGGCACATTAACTCTATTGGCAACGGATGAATATTTTTCATCCTATTTCCTGTGATTTAACAATTGAATTCTGCACTTAATCAAACTGGAATCTCCACATAAACAATAAAAATCACATTGATGCGTATAGATCATGTTACACTGAAGTACTGTAACTCACACTGAAGTACTATTACTGTAGTGCAATTTGCTTTATCTAGCCAGCAGCAGGTGGTGTCATCAGTTTGTAAACTATCTTACTGATCTACTGAAGATACAAGGTATTCCTTCTAGAACCTTGCACACTGGGTCTTGCCTGTACCTAAAAGCAGGTAGGACTTACCAGCAGGAGCTGATACCATGCAGGTGTCCATTCTGCTGCTCCATTTCAGATGTCTTTATGGGATTGGCAGAAGCTGCTCACAAGGCTGCCTGCTTAGCAGTTGCTTCAGCTTCAGTTTGGGGTTACAATTTTCTTGGTCATCCCCAAAAACAGCCTTCAGCTTTCACAGTCCCCACAGATTATGGTATCGTCAGAAGCTGGAGGTAGGCAGTCATTTAAAACCAAAACCAAATTCAAAACAACACTAAAAAAAACAAAACAAAACAAAACCAACACAACAAGAAGAAAACCTAACACTGGACAAGAGGCTTAGACCACAGGAGGCGCTGGAATTAAGCATTTGGTGTTTTAATTATCACGTGGACTGCTTTGTAAGCACAGCCATTCTTACGTACAATAAAAAAAAACAAAAAGCACATGCCTGAAATACCTTCTAGCAAAATAGCCAGAAGGAGGAGAAGGGCTTCTGACTGGAATTTTTACCTTAAGAAATTTTCAGTCAAGGATCCGATGAGAAGCCTGCACGGCCATTTTGCTTTCTAAAACTCTAGGTGGCTCTGAGATGAGCAGATCATCCTCACCTAGTGAAGAATTCTGCTCAGTGTTCACGAAGTTAGGAATGTTAAATTTCGTAAGACAATTTAGGTCCTCCTCTAATGTTCCACCGCTCCTGGAAACTTCCTGGAAGTGGATATTGCTCTCCAGATCTGGACCTTTCTGACTTTGTTGCGCTTTGTTGAGATGTTCCACTTCATTAATGCAGAAATGGAAAAGTGACCGGGACTCGTCAGCTATTTGACGAGAAAAGACTCTCTCCGACTCCAGAGGTCTTCCAAAATCTGCCACGAAGCTATTCATCCGAAATCTTTTTTCAGAAGATTCTGTATTTCTAGGGAAAATAAAAGTACAGTGAGACTATGAATTTAGAATTATTGGCATTCTTAGCAGCATGTCTGGTTTCAGCAGTTATTATAACTAGGAAGAAAGAAAACCCTTCAGCTCATCTCTGAGAGTTACAAGCCAGCAGTGTTTATTATTTTCCACTGAAGCTACTTTAAGCCTTGATTTTGAGTGGTAATTTTCCATGGGAATAAGTTACAAATGCCAGCACTCTTTAATGGCACTTCTAGTCATCAGTGTAATTCAATAATCTGCTCACACCACTGAATGAGCTCAGAACTACCATACAGAATTTCCTCATAGAGCAAGCAGTAGAAGTTTAAAATAAACATTTCATAGAAGGCTGTGAGAATAATCTTTCATAGCTGGAACCTTTCAGAGACATAGGCAACACTGCTGTCATTAAAGACATAATTTGGGTGGTCGATTGTCTAGATATGAAACCACCTTTCACACTGATCTCAGCCACTGACACTCAGATTTCCAAATTAGAAGAGTGCTGTAAGGACTGGGTGGCTTAAAATTTCAGAAACACAGCACGGGAAAGACATCTTGACATCTCTCTTTTCTGGAAGTGTTAGTTCTGCAGAACAGCTGCAGTCTACATAGATTTGTGAGAGGCCGTCAACAGCTGTGGGTGAGGAAAGCTCGAGGTAGATGATGAAGCTTTACAGATAGCAATACATTCTCTGTCAGCCCGGCTTTATATGCTGTCATCACCAAAAGCAAGTTATTTGCATCTGAAAGGCAGTAAAGGCTTTCAGAGATGAGTAGTGAAAAATGGAAACATTCTCAGGATAGAATTATTTTGCTAAGTAAGCATTGCTAGATTATATCACTAAGATGTGGACAAGTAGCAGATGCCACTGAAGCCAGATATTTGGACTCCTGAAGGTGCATGCAACACTTACTGACACAGGCTGAACACTCTAAAATCTGCTGGAAGAGTTAGATTACAGGCTTCTGAAAGCCTCATCTGGCACGTTCATAAATCTATCCCTAAAGCCTTCATGTACAGAGGATGCTCACCATCACTCTTTCACTCAGAGTTAATCACAGAGATCCCTCCCATCCAAGTGCTAATTTACTTTCATTACATGATGTGAGAATTAGAGCCTAACAAAAGCAGTTACATTAGACTTCAAATCAAAACAGCACTCCAGCTGGTGGAAACAGTGTTGGTTCATTCTGCATTTCAAAGTGAAGCATGTAGAAGAAGCATAATTTTTAAACTGATGTGAGACTGGAGTAGACAAAAATCTGCTTTAAACCCAGCAGGAATCAAACTGTACAGAACAATGCTGCAGTAATCTTTGGGACAGATAACTGCAGTTACGTATTTATAAAGCACCACTCTGAATGAGAGTTGCTTCTACAGTTCTGTGACAGAGTAAAGCTGGCAAGCACATTAAGAAGAAACATTATAAGCTCACAGAGAAATGATTTAGGAAGAAAGCAAGTTCATATTAAGGGAAATTCCTTTATAACCCTAAAAGCTGTAAAGGCTCACTGCACAGAAGGGCACCCAGGATTGGCAACAGCAGTCTGATCTCAGTGGATGAATAGAAGATGCAGATAAATTTTAAAATGACCAAAATGTTGAGAATTCATTCAGAATAATCCTATAATCCTATCATGAACACATTGTCTAGTATACAGTCATCTCTTGAGATTCTGAAATTCACATACACTGTTCCTCCTGTACTGTGAGGGACATTTTTTTTTTTACTAGACTAGAAACATTTGTAGTCCTTCCCATTACAGTACTCAAACATACATCAATGTGTTCTATTTAGAAAATTCATAAAACAAGAAAAGCAGTCTCGAATCCCAGGTTTATATTTGGAGGACCACAACAGGGAGAACAACCATTTGGACACCAAATCCCTACTGAATATTTGGGCCAACAGGACTCTTGAGTCCCAGAAGTTATCAGCAAGAGCAGGATGGTGAACGCCAGCCATCTTCAGTGTCAAAGGTACTGAAAAACCACTCAAAATGGTTGGTTCATTGGCAGTGAATAACACAGGGAACTAAGCTCCATTTTTGGAATTTTCCAGCCTGCAGTTCCAGGCTCTGGTTGCTAGACACAGTATTAAGCAGATATGCAGAAAAAACGCTTTTTATTTTTTGCACAAGCTGTACTGTGCACCTGCTAATTCAAGCGAACAGAAGAAGAGTGCTAAAGGCATCGTTCCTGTAACTGATTACATTTCTGCCTCTCCTCATCCATGCCCTGAACCTTTCCCCTGGGCTGAGGATGTTTCCAACTTGAACATCTTGTATAATTTTAAGAAGTGTATGCTATCATACCCTTTTATAGTGAGCCAAGAAAAGAGTACTACTAGAAAAGTCGGAGTACTCTATTTTGGATCCATCCATCTGAATCTTGTTACATTTATCTCTCACGTTAATGTTACTTTAAGGAAATGCCAAATTGACTTACTGAAGTCAGAGACATGTCTATCAATCAGGATGGCTTCCTCTCGAGACCATTAATATCTATTTCTTAAGGACAGCTGCAAGGCAGCCCACAAATGAAGCAGTGAGTCATAAAGAATCCAGTCAGTCCTAGAGACAGAAAGATGCAGGCAAAACAAACCCACAGTCTACTCTGTTTTCACCTTTTAGCAGGTATTTATGTTGTCCAGTCTTTATATACGTGTAGCAAAAACAAAAGGCATCAATACCTCAGTACTCTTAGCTTATTTCTGGATGCTCTATTTGCAGTACCGTACTTAGTAGGCTATAAATATCAAATCTAAAAAATAAAAAATAGTGCTCAAATTTGTTACAAGTGCCAATTTAGAGTATGTAGTAAGTGGGAAAATATTTGAGCATATAGCTTCTCAAGGCTGCAAAGGAATTTTAAAATACATATAGAAAGAAATTGAGTGGGGTTTGTTCAACAGCTGAAGAAAAGCATGAACATTTAGACTGGAAGGGAACTCTGGAGGTCTTGAGTCCAATGCCTTGATGAAAGTAAGGCATGCCCAGGCTGCTTGAGGCTTTCTCTAGATGCAGAAGCTGAGTGGAGATGGAGGTTTCACAAACTCTCTAGACAATCTGTTCCCACAATACTGTGGAAGTAACAAGTGCAGAAGATATCAAGCAGCCCTCTGTTATGTCAGAGTCCACTTTTAAAAGCAAACAATCATTTTGATAAATATCTATGTAAAATTATCGTGTATTTGACTTCATCACTTCCACTCCCATTAGTATTATGCATATGAGATATAAACTTGGATGTTTAATGAAGAAAAAAAATCTGCAGGGAAAAGAGCTAGAATTTACGTAAATTAAATATATTTGGTAGCATGGTGTGGCTTTATTTTTTTTTACTTGAAATAATGCATGAAGAAAGCTAAAATACCAGCTACAGAATTCAGCAAGTCAGTTCTGGAAAGCTGAATTCTTATGCCTCTGCTTCTTTCTCACAGAAGCAGCAATGCACAGAAGCTCACAATTCTTGCAGGTCTTCCGTAACACGGTCCTGCCTCTAGAGATCTGCTATCACAAGCTTTCAGGCAGAGCCTACATTATGACTAAATAACACTGGGTAGGCAGAGAAAGGCAGGCTGCTTCTGTGATAACCACAGGCAATTGCCTCTCACAATCAGCTTCTCATGATTACTACCTGCCTGTAAGACCCTCTCACCCTCCAGTGAGCCTTTTTTTTCCTACCTGATGAGAAGCAAACCCGAGAGGAAGAAATGTGAGTTCAGATGGGATACTGGCAGCTGCATGCTGCACAACTGCTTTAAGTACGAGACTTGCAGATAAATGCCTGAGCCAGGATATGGTCTGCACATACTTAGCAGCCAGAAGGAAGTGGAAAAAGGCTTAGATTGTGACTAAGAGGACTCTGGTGTTAAGAAGTATGGAGCTGGATCTGGTCTTCAGCATCTACTGCAATTTTTCAGCAGAAACCAAGACTCTTGGAAGCTTGTGAGTACAGGGTAAGGGAACGTCTTGCTAATTCAATTGATAACTACATTTTGGACTTCAGCATAGAAAACCTTCCAGTCTTCAACTGGTTAGTGTCTGCATGGCATTTTATTTGTATTCTCTCTGCCAATAGCCACGTTTCTCTGCTCCACTCATCATAAGGTGAGCTTAGTTTGAATTACCACTGTTAGGTGGGGAGCAGTCATCTAAAGCCACATGTGGTTGGCAGCCTACCTACTGACTTCCTTTCAGCCTTGATGTGCATCCATGTGGTAATTCCAACTTCTTTACTGCATGCTACATACTACTTGCTAAATAGAGAATGCATTAACATGTACTTCTACAAAATTGCTCTCCTACAGACACTTGGAACGAAAAACATTTTAAACAAAGACACACAGCAGCCTTTCCTAAGAATGGAGCAGAAAAGGGCAGTGCAGATCCAGCGCAACCTCAGCACTGCCACTGGTTGCTCATGGACTGCTGAACACCAGAGGTGCCACATTCACTTTCCAGACTCACTCTTGATGTGGTGCTCCTGTCTTCGTCAGCAAGGTCAAAACAAAGAACATGAAGATGACAAAAACTGCAAGACCAACCCAAAATCCAATCACAATGGAATCTGTCAAAAAAGAGAAAACAATACGATCAGTATTTCACCTACACTTGCAGAAACTCTGCAGTCTGACTGCTAATTCCAAAAGATTTTGCATCTTATTCCTGGTGGAAAAAAGGAGAAGGATGCCAAAGCCCTCCTTTGTAGCCTGGATTTAACTTCTTTCTAGACAAACCAGAAACAAACTGAATGAGTGAAGGGGCTGGATTCTCCTGGCTGTTAAACTAAGAGCAGCTCCTTTTGTTATCCTTGGCCCATGTTCAAGCATTGCTTTGGAAACAATGTCAGTGCTAGCACAAAGATTAGAGGATTATTTGATTTTCAGCAAAAACCTCTGTCCCTGTAGCACTGAGTTACTATTATTCTGAATGATTTCTCTTCTGAGACCACAGGGCTTCTAGTTTTTGATGGATCACTCAGGCCTAGGAAGATTTTGCTTCCTTTCAGTGGTGAAATAGAGGCTTCTAAAGTAAATGGAAACACAGATTTGCTATTTGCTACCTTAACAAACATCAACAATGAACATCTAATTTTTGAGTTTCTGACTTTCATACAGAAAACTGTAACACAGTGTCAAAAGGGTCAAACTGATTTGGACAAAAATCAATTAAAATGCAATAGCCTCGTCAATGCAATTGCAGTCTGACTGTTATCCAGAAATGAAGCCTCTTAGAAGTAACCTAGTACATACCTTCCTGCTTCATGGCAAGATAAAACACAGTTCATCCATTCTAGAGAAATAGCTGTCTAGCCCATTAAAAAACCTTCACGAGGAAGGTTCCAGACCAGCAATCCAGCCCAAATGCTGTTATTACTGTTTTCTTATGTCCAATTAGGCCTCCCCTGCTCTAATAAAAGCCCATTGCATCTTATCCCACACTCAGTTCAAATAGTCTGCTATAGCTTCTGCCTGGGCTTCCCTAAAATGTGTGGCACTTGTCCATACACAGAAAACGTACTTACTGTTCTCATTTACAGCAAATGGATCTGTACATAAATCACCAGCACTATGTAAAACATATCTAAGTCTGCTTATGACTTCCCAGTAGACCTAAAGCTGCTTCTGAACACATCTCAAAACGTTTAGTAACTTGATTAAGAGATGGTACAAGTGGGACAAACCAACAACAATCAGCTGGTTATGCATAGCCCAAATCTACAGAGCATGAAGCCAAAATGTGGTCTGGTCCAGGACCCACAGCCTGCAGTGCTTTTTCACCTATCCTTCAGTTGGTTATTCTTAGTTTATGCAAATATGCAAACTGTCACCATAAAGCTCAAACCATTAATGTAGAGGCATGCCAGAGGAAAGTCTTAGGACAATCTCTCTTTACACAGCTACTATTGAACATCACAGATCTGCTTGCCCCACTGCAGCAGACAGAGCACACACTAACCAAAATATTGAATGCTCAGTCTCGCCCTTAGGACTAACTGAAGACTCCAGAAAACAGGAGTTGGATAACCTGCCTGCCGCTTGGCCCAGTGGTTAATCATGCACCCGCTGTGAAACATCTTCCATGTTAAAGGAGGATCTGGAAACTGGAAATCAATTCAAACCATTTGATCTTTCTATGTGAAGTAGAAGTGTACCTGCTGTGATTCAACACTGTCTCCCTGTGAAAATACTTTATCACAATCAAGTCACTCCTTAATCTCATTTTCTGATACACTAAGCAGGTTTAGCTTCAAGTCTCTCTCTGCAAGGCTTTTTCAATCTGTACTCTTCCACATCCTTTCCACTCAACATCTTTATAAAGAAACTGAAGGGCGATTCAGCTGTAGATCTTCACGATGAATGGAAAGTAAAGTGTGGTATAAATCACCCCATGCTGACACTCACCACATTTTTTAAAAAGGAATACTCCTTTTAGCTTCAAGCATAATGGTAAGAGTTTATTTCTGCAAACCTGTGCATTATGAACCCTGAATTAGTTCCAGAATAATTTTGCAAGTTTTGTCTGTACTCAGTGTTTGCAGATGCATTTTTTTTAACAAAAAGTATTTAAAAAGAAATGTTTTCTGTGTATTGGGTTGTTTTGTGAACACTTATCTCCACTGATCATTTTACCTCAGTTTTCTCTGCTTTCTAAAAACAAGCTTCTGAATTCCTTTTTATATAGAATCATAGAATCACAGAATGGCCTGGATTGAGAAGGACCACAATGATCATCTGGTTTCAACCCCCCTGCTACTTGCAGGATCAGCAACCAGCAGACCAGGCTGCCCAGAGCCACATGCAGCCTGGCCTTGAATGCCTCCAGGGATGGGGCATCCACAACCTCCTTGGGCAACCTGTTCCAGTGCGTCACCACCCTCTGTGTGAAAAACTTCCTGCTAATATCCAACCTGAACTTTCCCTGCCTCGGTTTAAAACCATTCCCCCTTGTCCTATCACTATCCACTATCGTAAACAGTCTTATGTTTTACAGCCAGCTACCGTCAGCCTGAATCACCTACACTGGAGTCCATACCCCTTTCAACTTTCCAACATAAGTTACAGACATACATTAACATCCCTTCTCCAGTTTGGGTGGCATCTTTTCTTGTAGACTCCTTTCTAGGACAAAGATCTCAAAGAAATTTGGTAGAACTCAAATTCATACATCCACCAACATTCAAAGACCATTCTGCCATGAAGGCCCTTCCTGATCTCAGGGCAGAAAAATAAGAAGGGCTTTCAGCCATTTCTGATTTTCAGGCCAGATGAGTTGGTGTTTTCTGTATGAATGGCACCACAGATATTTTCTATCTACACTGCACACCTCCACACCACTTGCTCAGGCCTTTTATTCCCTTGCCTCCTTTACAACTCACTGTACAACAGACAGATGAACCAACAGCACCCTTTTAACTTCACACTGTAAGCCAGATCACTAAAGCAGAGCCTCTCTTGTTGCTTTCACGTCAGTTTTTTATCACTGATTCTGATTCTATCATTACAGCAGAACTTAGAATAGCACAGGTGATGAAGATGGAATATTCCCTAGTGGGAATATGTCTACAAAACCTCAACATTGCTATTTGTGGTGCCTGCCTCTTGAGAATTTAAGATTTTGCCAGCAAACACTGAAAATCACCTTGCACACAGCTATTCCAAATATTATGAGATTTAAGATTTCTTATACAGTTTGAAAAAAAAAAAAAAAAACACCAAAAAAAAAAAAACCACTGTCAGTATTCAAAGTCTTCCATGACAACGCAATCTTAACATAATCTCTTCTCCTCCCTCCTCCACAAGTTTCAATTTCTATTAAATTAAATGCCTGATCACGTTGCCTCCAAATTCCTCACAGGCCAAACTCAGCTGGAGTTATCCAGAACAAGAAACTTATTGACACGACATCATCAACACAGGCATAGGATGTATTTACTCACACATTTTTGTGAAACTAATATCAACCTGATTGAGAATGCATGCGGTAACATAAATCCAACCTATCAGTAAAAAGTCACTGATTCAATACTTCTGTCAGCCTCTTTTTCATAAATGTATCACACTCTACCTGAAAAACAGTTGTTCCTTCTGTCCCAATAATAAGCGTGGTCCAGAACCCTCCTGCTCTACAAACAGCAGATAGGCACTAAAGATGAGCTACCATGCCCAGCATGGCAAACAGCTCAATGGCAATCCAAGATTTGGTTTGCCATTAGGCCTTCAGCAAGACAGAAGTAATTCCTATTTGTGTTTTTTCATCCTATACCACTCTGACACACAGAGCTAAAAAGATGTTGTACATCCTCGAGCTCAAAGAGGGTAGGTTCAAGCTCAAATAGGGTATGTTTTGAAGCTCAGAGAATGTACATTTAGGTTAGATAGAAGCAAAAAGTCTTTTACAGTGAGGGTGGTGAGGCACTGGAACAGGTTGTCTAGTGATATGATGGATGCCCACACTGTCACTGGAGTGACATTACCAGTGACATTGTTACTGGAGACTTCCAAGGCAAGGCTGGATCAGGCCATGGGCAGCCTAATCTAGCTGTGGTGTCCCTGTTCATTGCAGGGGAGTTGGACTAGATGGCCTTCAGAAGTCCATTCCAACTCTAAGAATTCAATGATTCTACACACATCAGCTAATCTTTGTAATAGAGTTTGGCCTCTGATTTGGTGGAGGAAGATAAGGAAGATAAGGAGGATAAAGGCAGATAAAATTAGAAACATGAGAAAAGCTAATCTACATTTTTCAAGTATCTAACATTTGTAAAAACGCAGAGAGTAAGCATCAGATTTTTGTAAATTGTAAAAACCAAAATTGTAAAGGTAAACTACAATTTGGGCCCAAAAGCAACTTTTGCTCCAGTTCTTGTCTTCTAGGCATGTTAAAAACTTCAGCAAGTTCTTTCTGACTCTCCCAGTACTACACAAAACCCTCCCAGATGTGCAGAATCAAGGCAGACAGGCCTTCCTGGGCTACCAGCTGCCACTGCAAGCACTCCTTTTCCCCAGTCTGAATCCTCATCGTGGTAAGCAAGACATGAAGTGTGCACCCCACCCCAGACCAGTGCTCCAGTACTGGATGGGGACCCTTCCTCACTTCTTCAAAGACTGGTGCCCAAACTCTTGCCCAGGGTACTCAGCTCAGAAGTGGAATAAGATGGTTTGCTTATCTTTGGTAAAGTGCATGCAATGCATTCCATAGTTTTGAGTTAGTTTCTGGGCTTTTTAGTTGTTGTTTTTTTGTTTTGGTTTGGTTTGGTTTTTTTGTTGGTTTTTGCTTTGTTTTTTAATTAAAAACCTCCTTCCCTCCCTCTCAAAAAACAAATTTTCTAGAAGTCAAAGCTATTGAAACTAAACACTGTTATGCACTAGCTTGTCCCAGTTAAATGATCTCCCAATTTCTACACATATGTTTCATTTCTCTGGTCTCCGTCCTCCACTTTTTACTTGTACAGTTATTAAGCAGCTTCAGCATTTGGATGACACTGAATTTAGCACAAACGTTCCATAAAGAAATTCCTAACGATAAAAGTTTCTTCAGAAAAAAGAATTTTCTTTTTTCAAGTCTCTGAAAGTTTGAAACTTATTTTTTAGGAGATAAAATCGAAAGCAGTAAGGCTGCCCATTAATGCCTTTTTCGCATTAATGGGAACAAGAACAGAATAACATGGATCATAGCAAGCAGTAACAAGATGCAACACTTCAGTTCCTAGAAGCGTGATAGTCCCCAGTAATAATGAATTTCTAATACAGTCAAGAAACTCATAGTGTTCCTATACATAAGGAAAGCAGTCAAAACAAACAAACAAACAAACAAAACTACAATAATCTAATAAACTATTTATTGAAAAAATTTGGAGAGATTTCAGCACAATAATCACTTATAAGTGAAGAGCAGGAATTTTAAGATGGGGAAGCACAGCTGAAATAAAACACATCTGTACTGAACTTACATTTATGAGCCTTCAGGCCTTCAAATGACACTGGTCCATACTCATAGTACTCATACTCCCAGGTGTAATCAGAGTTAGACAAGGCCTGCTGGGAGGTTCTGTTAGAAATCAACCTCAGGGCAGACATCTCGCACCTAAATAAATATATCCTATGGATATGAAATGCATTAGTAAAGAAACACATACTTCTAACACATCTTTGATTTTAGAATCATATCTTTGATTTTCAATGCCTGTATAAGCGTACAAAGTATCAAAAGCAGGCTTCTCAGAATATAATTTTTAGAGTTGAAAAAGTACTGAATCCCAAAGACTACCATCCTTGGCAGCTTACAGCGAACGCTGCCATGAGAATCTGTGTGGAGAAGTGACCAGAGTGCCAAGCTCAAAGTGTTACATCATTCATATAAAGTCCAGCTGGCACCCTGGAATAACACTCTTTTACATCTTCCTTGAAGAGCCAGACAACGAGTCAGAACTGCATTGGCAGCAAGCTCATGGATTACCTGAGGGACAGACAAAAGGCTGAAGGGCAGATTGATATTCAGAGGGACCCAGACAAGCTGGAGAATTCAGCTGACAGGAACCTGAATTAACACAAGTGCAGTCAGCGCATCAAGAGAAGAATTTTTTATTCTCTATTCAGCACTGGTGAGACTGCACCTGAGGGACCATATCGTAAGTAAGTGGAAGACATGGACATATGCTAGGGTCAGTCCAATGGAGGGCCACCGTGATGGTCAGGGAACTGCAGCAAAGGATGCATGAGAGGCCAAGGGAATTGGGTTTGCTCAGCCTGAAGAAGAGAAAGCTCAGGGAAGACCTTAGTGCTGCCCTACTGTCAAAGTCACAGTCAGAGGGTAGACTGGCCAGATGTGGACAACAACAGAGCAAGAGGCATCAGATACAAATTGATTTGTGAGAAATTTCTGTTCGACATAAGGAAAAATTTACCTGATTTAATTGAACATGCTTTGAGCAGGAGATCAGACCAGATGACCACCAGGGGTCCCTTCCAACCTAGATTTTTCTGTGTGAGAAGCGTTTCAATGTGCAGCTAGGGAAGGAAAATAAGACAGGAGTGATTTTTCCCAAAGATCAACAAGAACTGCAATCCAACACTTATCATCATTAAAATTAGCCTAATAGACATTCTGTCATTACAATATTGCAACACTGCACTAGGAATGTGCATTTTTCAGAATGTTAGACAGTTCTACACACATCAGAAGAAAGCACATCTTTGCACAACACTTGCTGCAGCAACTAGAATCAGAACATCTGTTATAAGTAGCTTTATTATAAAATAGCATTCCATAAGAAACTGTTCAGTGCTCTTCTAAAAGTAAATTGAGCTTTGGGTAATTTTGCATTCAGTTAAAGCCCAGCAGAATGAAGACTTCATGCAGTGTGTAAAACTAATGCAGTTAGCTGTTCTCTGGACAAGGAAACCCCACAACTTCAATAATACAACTTCAAATCTGGATAAAACTTCTTGGAGAAACAAAAAGAAGAAAATAAAGGTCTCTAACTAACCATGTCACTCAAAACAGCTGAAACTTCAGTCCTTCCATTAGATTGAGTAAAGCTGTGTGCAAGTAAAGGACGTTGTTCAAATGCTGGAAGGGCCACGTATAAAGAACAGCAATGGGGCACAAAGTGAGGAACACATATTCACCCAAAACATACAAGCAGACATCCAAGCTCTTTAAAAAGAAACAAAAAAAGGGTTCTCCTTCTGTAATAGTAAGTGAAAAAATATATAAAGCAATAAGTAGGCCTTGTTTTCAAACTCAAACCAGTTTAGTTTTCAGCACTGGCAATTCACCCCACATTTATTTGTATAAGGACAAAGTGCTTCACATTACCCTCACCCTCCTTCAGCCTCTAAGAAAGCCCCCAGATGGATAAATAGCATGAAACACAGAAGGCCAGAAATGAAGAAAGGTTACTGCTTATAATGGACAATCCAATTCATGGCCCAGTATCTTCATATGTCTGATGGAAGATGACAGGAAAAAGTGAACACTTTTATGTACTTGTGTTAACCAGGGAAGTCCTTCCCTTGCTTTCTCAGTGAGAAAAACTTCCCCTATTTTCTGGAACCCAAGAGGATATCTGATCAAGCTTTAGATTTGCTTTTAAAATCAGCTAATTTAGCTGCTGCTTTCTGGAGAAGCAAATGGCACAAAGGGAAAACTATGATTCTTGTCCTAATTTGTTCTCAGCACAGTTGTCCCTGCATTTCATTTTTGTGACTAACCCCTGTGGGTTCCCATCATCTTTTCCCCTTCTCCTCAATGTTTTCTCAATGATGCATTTCTTGCCAAATTTTGTTATACATTCTGTCTAAGCCTGCTTATCTCTTTAGCAGCATTTTAGAGCAGTCTTTCATTTAAATATTTTTCATACGGCTTGTTCATTGTTACCTTCTCTCTTTCAGTATTATAATAAAAGCTGAACCAGAATCTGCAGTCAGAAAATTTCAGCATATGTTACCTGAAGAGTCAGAAAAATGCTGCTTCTTCTACCTCAAACACAAGCAAATGGGATTAATTGGGCCACATGCAGGTCTCTCTCCCCCTCCCTCTCCAACTAATCACTATTGTCCATTCATGGTGTACTTGGAGAAGAGTCACTTCTACAACACCAAAAATTTGTCCTGCTTCAGCTGTAGGTTCAGACAAATAGCTTCAGTGTATTGCCACTGGCTAAAAGCGTTTCTATGCTTACTTCTGTTGTAAGCACTAAGCCACTACCAGAGAGAGCTAACTGAAATTTTGGCCACCAGCTCCCAGGGTAATCTGCAGGGTGAGCTAGCAGCCTGCTTCGTGCATCTGCAAGGTGCAGTGGGACAGGGAAGGAATCTGGATTCCAGATAAGGGATTCTAAAAAGGAATTTGCCCAGGAAACAGTCAAAAACTCTTTTTTTTTCCCCCAAGTAGACAGCAGTGATACATCCCCCAGCTCCAAAGCATGACAGGGAGCTTCTCTGAGTGGCCTTGCTGAATTTGTTTTGTTTTTCTGTAGAGGCCATAAGGAGTTAAGGCAAACACCAAAGTCCCTCTGTTACCTTCAGTGTATACCAATGCTGGCAGCCTTCCCTCACCCTGCTTCATTACTTTCAGGAGCAAATAAGTGAGGAATAAAAGCTTCATTTGCTCTCTCAAGGAAACCCAAAGTGAAGCCATGCTCTGTGCCACCAACCAGGAGATGCAAGCAGGTTAGTCACCTGTCAGTAAAAGGGCAAATCCTCATGGCCCTCTTCTGGAGCACTGGCTTGGTCTCTCTGCAGACTAAAGGATGTCAGCAGGTGGCTGCAGCTCCTGGAATTGAGTTATGCCTTCATGAGAACTTGTTCAGAGCCTTTGTCGAAGTTTGTAAGGTCTCAGCTGCCTGCCAGTGGTATACATGCAAGCTATTTCAACTCTGCAGATCTATCTCTGCACAAAATCCACATCTCTGAACTGCAGCTGGACTATTTGCATCACTCTGGATATCATCAGCAAATCTGCTCTGCACAACCACTTACCTTTCACACAGACACCAAGGTTCTCTGAAACTGGACACACACCATGTCTGAAGCACAGTTTCATGGTTTAAGCTGCCACTGGGGCCACCAAGGCAAATCTGATTTTGTGTACATCTGGAACTGGCCTTGTATGTAACCAGCAACAACCACCTCCAAATCTGACCTGCACACACAACAGTAAATTTATGCAGACTGATCAATCTACTTCTTCATATCTGAAGCAAGATAAACTACCAGTGAGGAAGATGCAAGAAATGAGGCACATTTTCAATCAAAAACTACATTAATTTTTCATGTTTCCATTCTGCTTACCGGTGCAGAGTCTGAAAACTTGATCGACTTCTGGCCCCTTGCAAACAATGAACATCCCAGAAGCCAAACATGCACAGAAAGCAACAACATTTCAAACTGAGCAGTCCAAGGCTAAGTAAGCTGGTACATCAGTTCCATAGGCTAGGCAGTGCAATTAAACCAGAAGCTGCTGGCTACAGGAAGTTAGTAACTCAGGCTGTTCCTTTGCCCTGAGTCCCCATAATAACAGCAATATTCTGGGGGGGCAAAGGAACCAGCCTTCATCAGCACTGCACTGCTTTTTACTCCAGCCCAAGGTCTAAGAGGTGCAATCACAAAGGAGCCAATGAGGAAATGAAGCACAAATGTAGCGACTCTGCTCTGCATGAGCTAAAACACACAGAACCCAGCTTTCTACAGCCCTAACCTATGGTTATTGTTTTGAGCAAGCTCTGCCACTTTTGAGTGCAGATAAGAAAGGAGTTTGCAGGAAATACTTAGCCAAATGGTCTGTGCTTCTTTGCCAATTCACAAGATCCTAAACGTGCAGGACTTGAGGTGCAGCTCAAGGTCTTGTATGAGAAATATCCAATCTTCCTGCCTGCAACTAGAGAAGAAAGCAAGCAATAAAAATTCAATATTTAGTAAGAAAAAAAAAACCAACAAGATAATTGAAAACTATACAATCAGAAATCAGTGCTAATCTCAAGTGCACAGCACCTGGGACTTATCTTTGAAGGAAACGAACTGATGTTAATAGCTCATGAAAAGCATCATTTGCACGAGCTATTGCATGAAAGCAGTAAGAATAGTATTGGACTCATCACAGGAAGACTTTCTAACAATGGTAAGGAAAATCACTGTTTTAGTCACTGCTTATCCAGGGAACTAAGGACAAGAAATGAAAAATTGCAGACATCTGTACTGCATACTGCTGTATTATACCTCACATAGCATACTTTTTAATATCCTTAGCATTGCCGAGTGTAAACTAGACTCCAATAACAAAGTGCTCATACAACATGCATATGAATTACCAACAAATACATCTAGTTTTCCTTGAACACTTCATGTATTGTGGAGCTTTGCTGCAGCGTAGGAGGCCTCCACACCGCTGCGTACAGTTCGCATGCAAATTGCATTGCTGCCACTTGTGCTTAGTTTAAAAGCAATTACTGTATGAATTTAAAGTAAAGTTTAACATATGAAAGACAAAAACAGTTGGCTAAGTATCTTCCTAAAAAATCATAAACTTGTATGCAAACACCAGTGCCCACTTATCAGCTCTGCTCAGTAGGGGCCACCTCAAGATGGGCAGAAAAACATACAAAATCATATTGCACTGCACTCACAGGCAACTAATGGATTTGAGAAAAAGTTGATACCTTGCATGCTCACTTTTAAGTCTTGTCTCTGAAGAAAGCTAAATTGTACCTAATGAGATATCATAAAAGCTATATATTCCTTCTATTCTTAAAAAGTTTCAATCCTGAGCTGATAATAAAGGTACAGGGAATTGTCAGAGTTAGCAGAGAGCATTGAAGCAGCTAGCTGAGTTTAAATGTGGTACCAAAAGCCTGAAAAATTACAGCCAGAACAGACAATTCTAAGAGCATTATCTACAACCAAAAAAAGAGATATTAGCCATAATTCCATGTATTTCCTGCAGCCAGGACAGGACTTTACATTCAATCTATTTTCACGCTTAAGAGCCTAGCTTCAGTTGAGTTCAAAAACCATATATCAGATTTTGCCATCCTGAGCATCAAAATGAAGTATTACAAGTGTCCACACTTCCACCCAAATAATAAATCTCCACAAAAAACACACAATTTGACAGCTGTTTTAGTCACAGTAGAACAAGATTAACTCTTCCTTCTAAGCAAAGGCTGCTATTCTAAAGAAAGAAAACTATATCTGAACAATAGGTTCTAATTTCAGAGCCACTGTAAAGAGCAATGATAATCCTTCCAGCTATTCATTGAAAGCCCAACCTCTCCATTGCACAGCACTGACCTTATGAGAAGCAGCAGGCTCACAAACACAGCACAGCTGTGGTTGGAGGAGAGCTCCAGGTCCACCTGTGTCCCCATCCTCTCAGTCCTGCACATATGGCAGCTCCACAACTTCAGGCCCTTCAACACTAGTCACACTAGGAAAAGCCCTACCAGGGAGCCATAAACCACTGACATCTTTTCATTCCTACATTTGTACAAATGCTGACAGAAAGGTACAGGCACTCAACACCTCTCTGAAAGGACAGCTTGCTAGTACCTCAGCAGCTTAGAATTCTGCTCATTTTTAATCTTCTGCACTACAGCTTGTTTGGCTTTAACCCTTCAGTAAATATAGATAAAAGTCCCAGGCTGAGCTGTTACAGAAAAGCCTCAAGCATGTCCAACAAGGAGGTCAGAGGGAGCCATACAGGAAGGCTGCAGAGGACCTGCCCTGAATGCATTGGTTTGGGCAGCATTATTTTCCTCAGTTTTCAAAACTAAGCTCACTTGGCAAAGAAGTCTTAATTTTTCTCCTAATAAATGCTTATTTTCACCCTCAGCTCAGAGCTCTGTCTTGGTTGTGCATCAATGAGAAAGATCAATGAAGCACCAGAGCTGAAAAGCAGAGTGGGTCTCTAAAGCCATCATCTCTGGGATGCAAAGCAGTGCTTGATCTTTTCAGTTTGAAAAGTCACTGAGGTATTACGTTTCTTCAAGAACAAAATAAAATAAATAACACAGCTTCTCTTGTAAACTTCCACACTGGGATGTGGAATGTGTTCTGAACTCCTGCAGTTCACCACCAACGCAATCAGCAAATGTTTCCAGCAGCCACTGAAATTGAATGTCTTTGGAAAGGGCAGACTGGCTCAGAGCTTTTTCAAGCCAGAACTGTTTTTATCTGCTTTTACATATAACCCTTCACTCTGGTGCTATGGAAGAGGCAAGCAATGTACTGTAGTGCCTCAAATACAATTTCAAGTAAATACTTCCAAGCACACATCCAAACACTGTCATCCCACTCCCCATCTCATCCCAGTGATGCACCAGGCTACAAACAAGCAACAAGAGCCCAAGGAAACAGCAGCACAGCCAGGACCCACTGCAATGAGAATGCACAACAGAGCTTTAATTTATTTGTGTTCAAAGCTTGCCGGCAACATCTCACACCACTGGCTTGGGGACTGGAAACTTGATTTAAACTGCAAGAGTATCGCCTGAGCTTAACCTTAAAACCTCTTCTACCACAACGAGTGTGGTAGATGAACAGAGACAGAATAAGCACAGAACTCTGCCCAGCTCTTCTCACAAATTGGATTTTTTGGTTGATGTATTCAACACCGTTTTGCCTGCGACTGATGCACTGGATTGCCTCATTACTTGAGGCTGATGGAAGCCCTCAGCCTGTAGGTCTGCTCCCTGCCTGGCCCCCTCCAGGGGTTGGCTCCTGCCATAGAAATCTGACTTAATGCTCTGATTAGGAACCTGAATCATAGAATGGTTTGTGTTGGAAGGGGCTTTTAAGATCATCTTGTTCCAACCCCCTGCTATAGGCAGGGACACCTCCCCCTAGACCAGGTTGCTCAAAGCCCCATCCAGCCTGGCCTTGAATGCTTCCACAGAAGGGACATCCACAACCTCGCTGGGCAAAACACCGATTTATTTCCGCCGTGGTCACGTAAATCTCCATCTCCGAGGGCTCGGAGGAGACCAAAGGGAACCGCTCCCGAGCAGAGCAGAGCAGAGCAGCCGTTTGGGAAGCGCTCGGAGCAGCTGCTCGGTGCTGCAGCGCAGAGCCGGGCAGCCGCTCTGACAGCACTGCCACTGCTGGACCAGAAAACTTTTTCCCCCCTTTCTTTCTTGCAGACACTCTAGGTTAGATTTTAAAGTTCGCTCACACGCTCATCAGTACGAAGGACAAAACTTTTTTATCCCATCCAAGCGGTAAAGCTTCCTGCGGAAGCGGTACGTTTCCCGCTGGTGCTTCCCTCTCCAGACACGGGCTGTGGAGGAGCCGACCGGAGGAGCGAGACAGCAGCCCTTCCACAGCCAACGCATCCCACAGCGCCGAAGCCGCCCCGAGCGTTCTGCAGAGACGAAGGCAGTAACCCCGGAGGCTCCCCTCACACACTGCCGCCGCCGCAGCGCCGCCCCCTCACCGCGCTGCCCACCCCGCCAGCGCCGCGAGAAGCCCCCGCCGCCACACCGCCCGCCGCTGCCCTACCTGCTGTGGCGCCGCCCAGCGGCGGTGGTAGTAGCTGCAACACCGCACCAAACCGAGCCGAGCCGAGCCGAGCCGCGCCCGGCTACAGCCAATGAATCAGCAGCGGCCGCGGCCCCCCGGCGGCATGGCACGGGCACGTGACGGACCCGGACCAATAGGCGGCGCGGGCGGGAGCTGTCCTAGGTGCTTGCAGCGGCGCGGAGCCCACACCGACGCGTGGGCGGCCGCGGGCAGCCGGCGGGGCGGGAGCCGCGGTGTCGAGGGAAGGAGGGGAGGGGCGGCCGTTAGCACGCGTTTTTCTTAGGCTTAACGGACGTTTCTGTATTTCAGTTTGCGTCTGTTACTCACTGGGTACCATGGGGAAGAGTCTGGCTCCTTCTTCGTCCACCGGTAAGGGCACACCAGTAAACACCTCAGAGCCTGGCTAAGCAGTCTCTCCTCAGACATCAGCTGCTCCATCTTTGTGGCATTTAATCATCTTCACAGCCATCGAGTGGTCTTGCACAGCAGTACAGCAGAGCCCTCACCCTGCTTTGGTACTTGCCATTGAACTTCCTAGTGAGTCCTTGCAAGTGCTCAGGCATTTATTCTTTAGCACCAGCCTCTCTTTATTGTTCAGACCCACTTGCCTTCCTGCACTTCACTGCAGGTCATCTACAAGTAAGGATATCGATGAAACCTCAGGTTTTCAACTCTTATTCTCTCCAGGCAAAGTTGTGATCTCGGACAGTTCTCTCATCTTCAACTCAGAAATATAAAACCAATGCTTATGCATCATCACTATCAGAATCGAATAAAGCACAATGGAACCTCCCTTCTACTGATTTCACTGACATTTAAAAGGCAGCATGACTCAGGATTTTGTTGTTTTTCCTAGGCTTAAAAACAACTTAGCACTCCAATTTCCTCTCCAGGAAGGAAGTTCCATGTAGCCAGTACATCACTTCCACTTCATCTCCTTTGATTTGGTCCTTCAAGGAAAGATTAGAGGCATCTAAATGCCAAATGCAGCAGGTGCCAAACAATGTGAAAGAGCATCTAGACTTCCAGGCTGGATGTGACTCCGGGCAGCCTGATCTGGTGGTTGGCAACCCTGCATATAGCAGGAGGGTTTAAACTGGATCATCACTGTCGTCCTTTTCAATCCAGGCCATTCTGTGATTCTATGATAACTAATGAGATTTGTAGTATTTTCTCTGTTCTTGTTGTCAGTTTCTCTTACTATTGGTGAAAATACAGAATTCATTATTTTTCTGTAACAGCAACAAAATAAACATGCTCTTTCTGGATGAAATGTGGAACTCCGGAGGCACAAACTCTTGAATAAACATAAATCAGTGGGGTTTTCTAAAAGGCAAAGAAATTCTGCTGAGAGAAAGTGGAGAGCTGCATGCACTCAGATTGTGGCTAACCAGAATGAGAATGGAGCTTCATCTGCAGCATCTGCTCTCTTCTGGCTCTGCAACAATGGCATCAGTCCAGTATACACAGCAAGAGACTGCACTTACAATTAAAGCACAAATTGCAGATACATTGTCAACCAGTCCTTCTTGCTTGCCAGATTTTTAGATTCCTGTAGTCAGTAGCTGCCTGAGCTTTAGCAGCCACCTAAAAAACAAGCAAGCAAACAAACAAACAAAAAAACACTGGAACTTAATCAGACTTGATACCACCACTTCCAAAAAAGAAAAAAAAAGAAAAGAAAAAAGCAGTCTTGAAAGAGAACCTTGCAGTTCTTTCATATCTCAGGTGGTTTAAATGAAAGGCAACAGTGGGACTTGCCAAGATCACTTACAATTAGTATTATGTTGCAAGAATAAAGTTGCTTGGATGTATTTCTATGTTTGCAAAAAAGTTATAAAGAAGCAAACTTAAACATATTTACCTTTTTTTTTTCTTTTTTTTTTTTTTTTCTTTTTTTTTCCCTGTACTGCACTCACAAAACTTCCCAGAGTTGCAGATCTGTGAAAAGGCCACCTTAATGAGCTTTCCAGTGTTGTTGATGGCCAACCATAGCAAATTCAAGGCTTCAAGGTCAACAAAAAGTTGTTTTCTTTTTTCTCTCAAAGTACCTCAAGTTCCACAATTTATTCAGAATAATAAATTTCTAGCATGCATTCGTTTTTTCTTTGTGTGACCTTCATTCTGTGCTCTCTCTACAACCTGAATGTTCTGAACTAGATTTTAATAACTAAAAAGACCATCAAGTAATGTCATGCCCAGTTTGCCACTCATAGCTGTTTAAGATTTGAACCAAATCTGACCCTGTCTAAATGATCATTGGCATCCTAATGTGATTAATTTTCTTACATGAACACAATGCAGATACTACATGTAATTTGTCGTTATATTTAAGCACCAAATTTGCAATCTAATTTTAAGAATTACTTACAGTTGTTTGATTTGCCCTAATTCCCTTAAATATTCTTCTAGCAAGGTTTAAGCTTGGAAGAAACAAGCATCTCTTTTTACTGTCAGTGTTTGAAGCGTACAGCTCTCTTTGACAGACATCAAACATCCATAACCGAATCCTTGTGCAGCTCTCTCACCTTCAACACTTGCAGTTACCTCTCAGTCAATTTCAAATTATGAAAAGTAAGAATAAATTGCCCATGATACTTACAGTCTGTGCTTTAATGCCATGCCAGATTAGTCCTGTGACTGCCTTCATGTTCTTTTGCCCAGCTGTGGCAAGGTGTCTAGCCTACATAATCTCATCCAGACCTCATAATTTGTTAGCACAACATTGCTCTTCTTTGGTATATTGGTCAACCATAAAATCTTTCCATCTGGCATATTTCACCCAAATTTTTGTAGCATCTTTCCTTTTTGCAGCCACAGTTCTTTTTTTTTTTTTTTTTTTTTCTTATAGAAACAGAGGAAAAAAGCCCTCAATAGTTTTCTTCCATGTAAAAGAGGGAGGGGATGGATGAGAAGATTTCATTCCAAGAAATCCTAGGTATTGTTTTCTAAATATTGTGTTTGATATGAAGCAGCTTTATAACAGCAAAACTATTCATGAATCAAAGGCATTATACCCCAGTTCGTTCTTATGATTCTGTTATTCTTCTGCAAAATAATCTGTGATGCCCACACAGCACTGCATCAGTATGCAAGAGCACCAAAATGCGCTCCATGGCATTGAAATTTATAAGCTACAGCATATAGTTCAAAGCCTCATCAGAATATCATGTTCACCCTCTGTATTGGATACACCACAGTAACTGGTAGAAGTCACAAGCGTGGATAACTGCCCCATGCAATAGCTCTTCCAGGTTATTCATGCTTTATTTTACGGACTGAGAATCAGATAAACATCGTTGTGATTCACTTTGTACTGAATCTGTTGTGGTGTGCAGAGGACCAGTTCTGCAGTAGAATCTGAAGCCACTGTATCTTTCAGATTCAGAACTCCCTAAAAAGGAAAGGTATCAGGAATCCTAACTTCAGTTATGCCTTCAGACATCAGCTCAGGCTTACAAGTGCTCACAGAATGCCCCACTGATATTCAGGTGTCCCTGAAGCTGTCTGTGCCAAAGCTGGCAGAAGGAAATCTTTCCACTGAATGTATCTCCAGGTTTCTGAGCGCAGATTTTTCTGCAGCTCTCTGTACTCCTTTCACAGATCCACATTCTGCACTTTGGTGGAAAGGGCTGTTCTGCATGTCAATATTGGCACGCCACACAGGTATTAACCCACAAGTTGTCATTGACTTCAATTTCACCCAGTTCCCTGTTCTGTCCTGGTTCTGCCTCTTGCAGCTGAAATCACAGTTCAGGCAGGTGGTACATTCTCTCCCTGGAGGATAAATGGGAATGTTCTCAGATAGATGGATCACTGCAAAGACAAGAGATGAAAATGCTTCTTCATTCTCTCTGACACAAGAGAGATTATGTTCATTTATTCATTTGTTGGTCCTCTAAAAAAGCTGTCATTTTCCAATCACCCCTTACTAGAGGCAGGGTGTGAAGTTTCAGTGAAGCCTAGAATCTAGAGTATTTCTCTTCCTGTTGGCTATCGCTGTTGACTCCTCCTTAGTAGAGGAGAGCACATAACCTACAACAGGTATCACTCCCTGTCAGAAATGTGTTTGGTCATAGAAAATCCACTATAACCTGTTCACTGCCATTGAAATTGCATCCTCAGAAATAGCTGAACCACTACACAATTCACCATAAAAAAGTCATTACACTACTTTCTGTGAGGCATCATTAGATAAATGAGAAAATGTATTTTGTTAGATAAACTGATATCATCAGAAGAGGCACAAAGCGCTGCTTCTGGACTGAAATAGAAGCTATATCCTCAAAGCTAAGTCCTAGCTGAGCAAGATATTACCTTGATTGATATTAATCTGTTAAATGGTTTGGGAAAAAAGGTGGCTGATACATGTGAAATAGGGATTGATATTAGAAAGGGATGATTCTGTAAGGTTGGTAGTTCAAAAAAAAAAACCCAAAAAACTACAACAAAAAAAACCCAACCAGCAAGTAGTGGTTAATCTCTTCTAGATCTCTAAGGGATAAACCAGGGCAGGAAATGGGCAGAAACAGTAATATGCCTCAAAATGCCAATGTTCTTTTCAGTCTGTGGTTTTCAGTATAATCACAGCTATGAACTACATTTCCCAGACTCATCTGATTGTAGTAAATACCTTGAGGGTCACGAGGGAAGTGACAGGAGCACTCTGAAAATCTTGACAGTATGACAATAAGCAGGTATTTGTTCTGTACTGACTGCACAGTGGCAATTTGGTTACCTCGAAATTCATACACATTCACACGCAACCACTTCTACAAGAACAGCAACTGGCCAACGCCACCACCTCAGACACTACGAGTAGGCACTGCAAAAGATTACATTCATTTAAGAAGGAATATATTTCTGGGGAGGCCCTTAAATACCATTTCCTGTATTACAAAATAATCCCTGTTTATGTGCAGTTGTGATCTAGAACTCTACTGGCAGATGCATGAAAAAAAAAAAATGCAATCAAAAGTGAATCAGCATCTATTAAGAAAGAAACAGCCTTTGAGGGGAAAAATCACCTCCCTGCCTCAAGGTGATTGATAGGGACTCCTAAACTGCTAACAGTTTTCATTTATTTTAGGCA